ATTCTGATTAAAAAGATGAACGGATTTTTAATATTTGAATGAAATATGTCACATGTCGATGTCCATTGAATGAAGTATATCACATGATCATCGATATAAAGTATTATCAGATTCACATATGTCCATCACATGCATCATCGATGCAGATCACATATGTCCATTTAATAGTTGAATGAAGTATATCACATGCCCATCATTGATTGGCCTATAGTTTTCCGAGATTGGTATATTTTGAATTCTGATTAAAAAGATAAATGAATCTTTAATATTTGAATTGATATAAAGTATGTCACATGGTCCATCAGTGATACAAAGTATTATTAGTATGTTATAAATATTGCGTCATTTATTTACCAGAACAGCAGAATATATTTGAGAGAAAACGCACGGTTGTGTATTTAGGTGAAAAGCTTCCCACGCGTTTTTTTAGGCGGGAATTTCTCGGACTGTTTGGCTATTTTTCTTAAATAAACATCATACGCGTAGATATAATATGCTAGGGGTGTCATTACTACATAGATTGGAGAATTAGTCTTTCAACTACCTATATTTTTTGCGTGAGAGAATGCGCGTGTGGGCTAGAATGAGGCAGAAACAACATCCTGTAAGACGGCGTGACGTGTCTGCTCCCTCGCTGACTCATGACAAGACATCAACTGGCGTTCACTGAAAATCCTAGTTTGAAGATGCCTGGTCAGGTTGCGCTGTAATAGCAATGGTTCTTCTCATTTATAGCAAGAGATTGGAAGGCGCCACGTGACCAGGTTGCGCTGTAATAGGAATGGTTCTCATAGCAAGAGATTGGGATTCGCTACGTGTCCCTCCTATGTCATGTCAGATGAATTAATAGTACCAGGTCAAGTGAATGCCTTAGTCGGAGTTATATCAGTACTAGTCGGGTATTACTGCCTGGCCATGTCAAGTCAGGTCAGACATGCCATTAGCGCCATCTCAAGTCGAGGCCCAAAGCTCGACAAATTTACGATAATACAGAAAATAGAGCAGCCAAATCACTACCACTCTTAAGATAAACGTTATGATACAACGTGAATAAGACTGGGTTGCGAGGTATACAGGTTCGCATCTCGCCGAGTGTGTCTGTTTGTGCACACAGACGCTCATGCAGGGCACTTGAAGTATAAAAAAAAACATTTATTCTAATCCTACGTAAATGCTTGAGGACTCGCGGCCCCGTGTTATATTCCACAAGTGATACTTGCAGTATAGGTAAGTGGGCACGTGGAGTAGAGGAGCTCCTTAATCGAGTGAGAGTATATATATATATATATATATATATATATATATATATATATATATATATATATATATATATGTATATATATATATATATATATATACATATATATATATATATATATATATATATATATATATATATATATATATATATATGTATATATATATGTATATATATATATATATATATATATATATATATACTATGTATGTATATATATTATATATACACACATACATATGTACACACACACACACACACACATATATATGTGTGTATGTGGTTGTATCAAGTTCGATTTACTTCGTGTTGCCGAATTCACCTAAAACAGCCCCAACATCCAGCTTGCTATGAATGTAATTGCATTACAGCACTATGCGAAAGGCCCCTTCACGATCGGTGGCAGAATCCTTCGCGGTAGAAAACAGATTGGACACTATTAGTAATGATATTGAAATTACCAACGAAGGAAGCTTTCCTCACCTTGGTTTTATATTAACTGAAGAAGATAAACGAAATGTGAATATCAGAAAATCATTTACATATGTAGCACAAACATTATGAATGATATTTGAAGGAATTTGTCCACGCAGTTTAGAGCAATAATGTAGAAGGATAATTTGGACTATTTATAGGAAAGATAGGCCTTTCAAGTTGCAAGTTTAGAATGGAAATAACAAAATGACAACTTCCTAGTTTATAACAATAATAAGGGTAGCTAGGTTATAACATCATCTATTGGCGACAAAACAAGTAAATTATAAAGAGAATTTCATCATAATCACTCGTTTCTGTCGGCCATGTCGAGGTTTGTTTACTATGAAATTGTAGCGAGATTGTTCTGAAGGTAGTCTGAAAGTGCTTGGTCTGGCTACGAAACCAGGCCAAGATATCTGACCAAAAACTTCCATAATAAGCAAATATGAGCAAGGATTTTCAAGATTTTTTTTATCAAGATATCTTGAAATAGCTTGTCTTCAGTATTGCGCCCTTGGTCACCATCTTTTAAAAAATCAACAGCGACCGTATAAATATTTCTTTTCTTTTTATTGGATATGGGTGACGACCACACTTACGAAAAACAAGCAAGCGTGAGATAGAGGCACACACTACCCACGCCCAGGACTATTTCCTCACCCCGCCCACGCACCAGGACAGTTTCTTCGAAGGAAAACACTCCCCTCCCCCTTCACCTGCCCCCCCCCCCCCAGAAAACAAGATTCGAGGCGTGACGCAAACTAGTTCACACTGGTTGTCACGTGATTAGGACAAGGGCTGACAACGTGGCAAGAGTGACGTCACTCCACCCTCCCACTACCCCCTCCCCTTCTCTCGTCTCGACCCACTGATTCTTCGATATATATTGTGATTGTAATTTTGCGGACGATTGGGAGCACGATAGAAATGATTGGCTGAGTCGTGTATATGTATAATATATATATATATATATATATATATATATATATATATATATATATATATGTGTGTGTGTGTGTGTGTGTGTGTGTGTGTGTGTGTGTGTGTGTGTGTGTGTGTGTGTGTGCATATGTAAATATGATGTGTTAGTGCGCGTTCGCGCGCGCGCGTGTGTGTGTTCGTTTATAAACGTTGATGTATGTGTTCATTTAAATGTGCACACACGTATAATTAACGTATGTGTGCACAACTATGAGAATATGTGTACGTGTCTATGGCTGTGTACGTGCGATCCTTGCATGCGTGTGTAATGAATCTCTTTCTGGGCGGATCTCCCTTGACCTTTCCCCACGTCTCATCTCCCCATCTTCTCTCGCGTCTTTTCCTGATCCTCCACGCCCTTCTTCATCCCAGCTGCCTTCACCTCTCTCCATTTATCCATTCTCCCGGTTTTCTTAACGACCACAATAACCTTTTTTATCTTTCTTATAAGTCTCCCCTCTCAACGTTTGTACTTATTCCCGTTTTCTTCTTCCGACCACAACAATCCTCCCTCCTCATATTAGTTCTCCTTCTAGCATCCCTCTTTTTCGTATATGTAATGTCACTGTCCTTTTTTCTTTATTTGTTTTGGTATATTAAGGCCATCAGTTATAAGTGTAGCTGTCCCTATCCTGAAGATGATCTATAAAAAATGAGAACATGATGCTCGTTTTCTTTGAGAGGAATTCATCCGTTTTCTTCCAGATGAATCGTCTTGTCAAATGACGGGTGTCTCTTTTATTCTCTGTCTAGACGTATAAAAAGACAACTAATTGTATATTATTCTCTAAGATTAATAGTATGTTATTGTCTGTATTTGATGTTCGTTATCTCCGTTTTCTGTCCTTATTTGGTGTTCATTTTTTCCCGTTTTCTGTCCGCATTTGGTGTTCATTTCGGGTTCGTAAAAGTCCAAAGGAAATATCATGTTCTCTGCAGTGACCTTCCCCCGCAACGACCCACATAATTAAGGTTCTCCGGTCTTGGTCTTACTGTTTTTGTTTTGTTTGTTTGTTTCAATTTAATGTACAGTTACTCCTTCGTTCTTCTTCCACGTCCATTTTCTTCGTTTCTGTACTTTGGTTCACTCTTTACGTCTTCTCTTTTTATTTTCGTCCCTCTCTGTTGTGGTCTCTGTTCGGCTTTTTGACCACATCTCGGATTCTCTCTCTCGTTTTTCTTTCCTTCCCCCTTTCTTATCTCAGTCTCTCCCTCTCTCTCTCTCTTGCTCTTTGTCTCTCTGTCCTTTTTTTATCTCTCTAGTCTTTCTTTCTCTCATTTTATTTCTCTCTCTCTCTTGTCTTTCTTTCTTTCTCATTTTATTCTTTCTCTCTCTCTCTCTCTCTCTCTCTCTTTCTCTCCACTCTCTCTCTCTCTCTCTCTCTCTCTCTCTCTTCTCTCTCTCTCTCTCTCTCTCTCTCTCTCTCTCTCTCTCTCTCTCTCTTCTCTCTCTCTCTCTCTCTCTCTCCACTCTCTCGTCCCTCCTTTTCACCCTCGTCAGAGCTTCTCTCTCGTCTTTCCTCTCTCCTCTCTCCCATCCTTTTTCTTCCTCTCTCTCTCTCCTCCCCAAACGCAGGTAGAGCAGCCACTCGTGCCTTGATATGACCTACCCCTACTTACTTTCATATAACGCTTATCATTTCTTCCTAGACGTTTTCACTGTAAACACAAGGACTGGCAAGGTTTAAGGAACTAGTGGTAATAAAGATACTCTTTTGCCCCGACTTCCAATCATTCGCAATAAGGGTCTTATTAGTTCAAGTGGGTAGAATCGGGAGCGTGTGGTTAGCCCTGGTAGAAGAATATTGTGTAGTGTATTTCTTGTTAGGGTAGAAGAATATTTAGTGTATTTCTTGTCCTGGTAGCAGTATTAAACTCATTAATTCATAAACTCATAAAGATTATTACTGTAGTTTATGCACTTACTCGGAGAATTATTACTTACATGATTATATGATCGTTATTAGATTTATGAAAGTCCGTAGATTATGAAAACACGGTTAGCTTCTGGTGAATCATCCAATCTTTGGTCTGCTGATCACTAAGTCATTTCGAAGAAGCGCATTTATTAAAGCGAGTGAATTGATTAAAACTTAACGTGGGATCAAAGTTTAGAAAAGAAAACGAAAAGAAGAAAAAAAGGAACTATGATTTGCTAATATAGAATACGACTTTTTCCTACCTCTTGCTTTGGGAAAATGTATATAATATCCAACAATATTTAATAAAAAGACTTCTATAATTTTCTATGATGATATTAATAATATTTGCCTTTTCTTTCCAGCCATGAAGGCGCCGATGCTTGTGGTGCTGTTGCTGGCAGTCGCCATGACTGTCACTCATGCCAAGGTAATTATTCCAAACAAGAAAATGTTAAGGAAATGTAAACGGAAGAAAAAAGTTATCAAGCTGTAGTTTCAAAGTTTATAAACAAAGTTGACGATTGGGAACAAAATGTACAGATATAATAGTTTATACTCAGTTTCTTTGGGAACTGTAATTTTAAATCATGTGCATAGTAATGACAATCACTATTTAACGAGAATATCCATTGTTAAAAGTCCATTCTTTAACCCCATCGATTTAAAGATGAGGAACCTCACCCAAGTACCCACAATGAACATCCTACCTTGCATGACAAAGGAACAGCGAAAGGAAGAACAAGAAAATACACAAATACATAAAAAAAACTCCGTTAAGTATTTTCTTGTTCTTTCTTTCGTTATTCCGTGTAGCACTCCGTTCGACATGAAGAACAAGAAAACACACAAATACATCAAAAAGACCTTCATTATGTGTCTTCTCGTCCTTCCCTTCGTTATTCTCATCATGAAAAACCTTCGTTCTCGTCCATCAAGCAATTCGTTTGACATGAACAAAACACACACAAACACACCAAAAAAAGACCTCCATACGTATTTCTCCTCCTTCCCTTCGTTGTTCCCTCAGCAATTCGTTCCACATGAACAAAACACACACAAATACACAAAAAAAAGCCTCCATTACGTGTTTTCTCCTCCTTCCCTTCGTTATTCCTCCTGCAATTCGATCGACATGAACAAACACACACAAATACACCAAAAAAAAGACCTTCATTACGTGTTTTCTCCTCCTTCCCTTCGTTGTTCCCTTCAGAAATTCGTCGACTTGAAAAACAAAAACACACAAACACACCAAAAAAAGCCTCCATTACGTATTTCCTCCTCAGCAACTCGTTCCACATGGCACTTCATCTCCTCCTTCCCTTCGTTGTTCCTCCTGCAATTCGTTCCACATGAAGCCTCCATTACGTATTTTCGTTGTTCCTCTTGCAATTCGTTTGAACAGCCTCCATCGTGTAGCAATTCGTTCCAATGAACAAAAGCCTCCATTACGTAGCAATTCAAGCCTCCATTACGTGTTTTCTCCTCCTTCCCTTCGTCGTTCCCTTCAGCAATTCGTTCTGAACAAAAACACACACAAACACACCAAAAAAAGCCTCCATTACGTGTTTTCTCCTCCTTCCCTTCGTTATTCCCCTCAGCAATTCGTTCCATATGAACAAAAACATACACAAATACACCAAAAAAGGACCTTCATTATGTATTTTCTCGTCCTTCCCTTCGTTGTTCCCCTCAGCAACTCGTTCCATATGAACAAAAACATACACAAATACACAAAAAAAAAGCCTCCATTACGTGTTTTCTCCTCCTTCCCTTCGTTGTTCCCTTCAGCAATTCGTTCCACACGAACTCCACAGACTTTCGAAGCAGCACTAATTCCTCCCGTGTTCCCCAGAAGGCGAGCAGCGACCTCCACAAGAAGCACATCGCTGCCATCGAGGAGAAGCTGGAGCAGCTGATGGAGATGGAGGCCGAGGTGAGGTCATCCTCGAGGGTTGATGTGTTCTTCGGAGTAGATAGAACTGTGGGTTTATGTTATTGAATCGTGAATGAAGTTGGGTTAGCTTTTTTTTTTTTTTTTTTTTTTTTCCATTTTGTATTTTCACTATTGAATGCGAAAGTCAATTTTTTTTTTTACGTTTGTGGATATATGGTATTGAATCGTTACTGAAATTGGGTTTGCTGTTTTTTATCATTTTGTATTTTTCACTATATGAAAACTGGAATGCGATAATCAACATTTTTGCATTTGTTTCCATATATCCAAAAGGTCTATTTGTCAATCGATGGGATTACATCACCGTCACGATATCCATCCATCTCTATTAATAAGCATTTCAAATTCTCTGTTTCTGCGGCCAACGCCATATCCGACCACAACACCACAATAATCATCTTGAACAACCACTTCCCAACACGTCTTTAACGCCTAACAACCCCAAAACACTACAACACCACAACATAAGCCGCCTTTAACAACCACATAATTCCCAACAACGCAACGTAATCTTGAACAACCACTTTATTTCCCAACAACACCACAACATAAGCCGCCTTTAACAACCACATAATTCCCCAACAACACTACAAAACACAACATAAAGTCTTGAACAACCACTTTATTTCCCAACACTACAACACCACAACATAAGCCGCCTTTAACAACCACATAATTCCCCAACACCACAAAACAACATAAACCGTCTTTAACAACCACTCTATTTCCAGCTGGAGAACGAGATCGCAGAGGAGGAGGCATCCTATGATGAAGAGACGGAAGAGGAAGAAGTGGCAGATGAGCCCCAGGAGGAAGTGGAAGAGGAGGAGGAGGAGGAAGAGGAAGAGGTAGAAGAGGAAGAGGACTCCCAGCCACAGTACGAACCCTCGGAGGAGTACGATCCCCCTCAAGGTAAGGTGGTCGAGGCCCGAGTCATGGGATGGCTAAGCTAGCTGCCTTACCTGATATTTCTGTATCTATCCGTGAATAGGAAAGAAAACACTCTACTGTGTTGATATATAATGGTAGAAAAACCCACAATGCACACATGAATGAGAGAGAAGAAAGAAAAAAACACTCTACCGTGTTGATACAATGGTAGAAAAATGCAGAATGTGTTGACACAATGTACACATGTAGGAAATTTCTGTATCTATCCGTGAATAGGAAAGAAAACACTCTACTGTGTTTATATATAATGGTAGAAAAACCCACAATGCACAATGAATAAAAAAAAAAAAAAACTACTGTGTTGATATAAAGAAAAAAACACTGCACACATGAATGTGTTGGTAGAAAAACCCACAATGCACACATGAATAGGAAAAAAAACACTCTACCGTGTTGATACAATGGTAGAAAAACCCACAATGCACAAACTAGATTTACTGAGGAAAGTGAGACAACAGTTTCGGAATCGTCCTTCGGGTCATCTAGTTTGTGCATTGTGGGTTTTTCTACCATATTTATCCATATTGATCATATATTACGATGTCTAATTGTCCATCTTCCAGAATAAACCAAGATTCCACTTAATAGCTGTTTATTAAGTACCTGTTACAGTCACACACAAGAATACCCACTTCTTCATCTCGAGATATCCACTGCATTCAGGGAAACCCGAATCCACATTAATACCCATTTCATTAAAGAATACCCACATCCACATCAAAATCCACTCCATTATACCCACTTTTACATCTCGAGATACCCACTTCACTGAAGGAGACCCGAACCCACATTAACACCCACTCTATCAAAGAATACCCACATCCACATCAAAATCCACTCCATTAAAGAATACCCACATCCACATCAATACCCAATTCTCCATCTCGAGATACCCACTTCACTGAAGGAGACCCGAACCCACATTAACACCCACTCCATTAAGGAATACCCACATCCACATCCCACTCCATTAAAGAATATCCACATCCACATCAATATCCACTTCATCTCGAGATAGCCACTTCATTAAAGGACACCCCGAACCCACATCAAAATCCACACTCACATCACGGGATACCCACACCCATCTAAGACATCCACGCCAACGTCATCCACATGAAAGTAGGTTCGATCTGGGTCAACATGAATGGCTAGTCACATGACATGTTCCTAGTCGAGTTTAGACGAAAATAGAATAATTTTTTCCTTCTTTCTAAATACTACTACTACTATTATTCTACTACTGCTTCTATTATCACTGTTACTACTACTACTAGCCTACTATTGCTACTACTACTACGACTATTCCACTGCAACTACTATTATTCTACTACTACTACTACTACTACTACTACTACTAATCACTGTTACTACTACTACTAGCCTACTATTACTACTACCACTATGACTATTCCACTGCTACTACTATTATTCTACTACTACTACTACCATTACTACTACTGTTATCACTGTTACTACTACTACTAGCCTACTATTACTACTGCCCCCACTACTCCTAGTGCTATCATAAAAAAATCTTTTCTCCAGACCCCTGCAAAGAGATGTTCTGCGGCGCCGGCAGGACGTGCGTGGTCACTCCCCAAGGGGAAGCAGAGTGCGAGTGTGTGAAGGAGTGCGAGCCAGAGCTGGACACTCGCAGGAAGGTAAGTCTGTCATGATGGGTAAGAAATGGATGGAGAAATCCTGGTTCAATCGTATGCTCATGGTTCTGTGGATGTAAATTCCTGTGGATGCATGGGTGTGTGGAATTCATGAGGAATAGATTGCAACAGGGACAAGGACAAGAAACAGGGAAGGACAAGAAAAGACACGAATATGCCGAAGGCTTTTTTCGCTTTTCGCTCTGACGAAGCATTAGCGAAAAGGCCTTCGGTATATTCGTGTGTTTTCTTGTCCTTTCACTTCGTTGTTCCTGTTGGATGCATAGGTATGTGTTTATCAGTGATTTAGATGTCGAGTAATTGAAATGTATGTGTGTGTGTGTGTGTGTGTGTGTGTGTGTGTGTGTGTGTGTGTGTGTGTGTGTGTGTGTGTGTGTGTGTGTGTGTGTGTGTGTGTGTGTGTGTGTGTGTGCGCGTGCTAGAGGGAGAGAGAAAGTACAAATTTCACTACTCTCATCCTTTAACATTACTCCGTGACTGAAGATACCTCGTACTGATAACCCATTACTTCTAGTCTCCTTCCGTCAACTCTACCAAGAGCCAGGTATAAGTTGGTACAGCCTCTTCAACTCTTCTTCCAAACTATCACCAGCGGGTATAACTTTCATTCTCTTGATACCCGGAAAAATACTGAACTCGGTGATAACTTGGCATGAATGTATAATCCATCTGAATGTTGTTTCTGGGGACATTTAAGAACAACAGAATGTATCATGATGAAACAATATGGAATCTGTGTTAATATCTGGTTAGGAATGGTTTAGATTTCAAACCTTACAAGTGCATATATATCCAGCTGTTGTGCGGGGCAGAAGTCTAACAATATATATAATAATTACGTAATTATCGGTCATTTTACACTTAGGGTTTTCGTACACTTTATTTTTTTTTACTGAAGTTCCATATTGCCTTTTCTTCTATGCCCGGTGACTGCCAATAGCTTGAAGGGTATTGTATGAACTTTCATGGAATTTCACTGAATCTTATATCTTATCTCTTTGTCAGGTTCTTCCTTATCAGCAAAATTAACAAGTGGGATCACGCTTATGACGAAAAACGCCTTATTCTAATCGCATTAGCTAATCAAAAATATGGTCGACAAGCGGTTTCTAATCTTGTATAATTACCTGACAACCACCTTGATCCACACAAGGTTTTGGATCTGCTTGTTATAGCCATCTTAACTCTTAAATTTCATAGATCTAATATTTCTAATAAGCAGAAGATAGTTTAGAAGGACAAGGAAAAAAATTCCCTAGTTCGATCCTAACTAAGGGCCATCAACCACTCTGTATGTGTGTATGTGTGTGTGTGTATGGTTGTATGTACACATATATACATGCATCAGTATACAGACATTGTGTGGGTGTATGAGTACGTGTATGTATTCGTTCTATACTCCCACCCCATCCCTCCACTCACAACAAAATCAGAAACACAACAAACCCATCCTAACCCAACCCCCCTCCTCCCCCTTCCCCCCCAGGTGTGCAGCAACCACAACGAGACGTGGGAATCCGACTGCGAGATGTACCGCCAGCGCTGTCTGTGCGAGGACGAGGAACCGGGCTGCAAGAAGGAGGAGTACGCCCACGTCCACATCGACTACTACGGGGAGTGCCAGGAGCTTCCGGTAGGTGTTTGGGTTTGTTGTGGCTGGGTGTTCGGTGTTCGGAAGGGTCGGGAATGTGTTCGAGTTGGGAGGTTGATGGTATGTGTATTGTAGGCCTATGGCATGTGGGTAGGCCTATGATATATGATAAAGCCTAATATATATATATATATATATATATATTATATATATATATAATATATATATATATACATATTTTTTTTTTTCAATCAATTCATTTTAGATATAATAGCAATATTAATTTTCTAAAGACATTTTCATTTTGTGTATGGTTAGCAAATGAGATTTTAGAAGCCAAAGTTTGAGAATTAACTAATTGTATGCAATATGGAGAAACACGTCTGGGATTCACATTAAGATTGTATTTAATAAAAAATACGTAGATTTTGTTTCACTATAAAGAGAGAGAAAAAATCCATCATACATTACATGTAATTCAGAAAAAAACACATTAAATCAACTCCTCAGTACCCATTTTTTAAGATACACTTACTCCTAAAAAAGACAACTTATCTTTTGCCCTAAAAGAAGATCAACCTCTTCCTTTACCCTTAAAATGGAGGACCTCTCCTCTTACCCTACAAAGGAAAGACCAACCTCTTTTTACCCTTAAGAGGAAATACCAACCTCTCCTTTTAAACTGAAAAAGAAAAATTACATATTCATTCACCCTAAAAATGGAAAAATAACCTCTATTTTTTCCTAATAAAGGGAAAGACCAACCTCTCCATTCACCCTAAAAAAAAGGAAAGTCCAAATTCCCCCTTTACCCCCTAAAAAGGAGACCAATCTTTCCATTCATCCATTTACCCTAATGAGAAGCAGAAAAAGAAATGAAAAGAAAGAAAAGAAAAAAAGAGAAAAAAAAGAAAAAAGAAAAACCCTCTTCCTTCGCCCTACAGGAATGCGAGACCTCCGAACTGGAGGACTTCCCCCGCAGGATGAACGAGTGGCTCTTCAACATCATGCGCGACATGGCAGACCGTCAGATCCTGAGCGAGCACTACCTCCAGCTGGAGAAGGAAGCCGAGGACAACCCCACCAAGAGATGGACCAACGCCGTCGTCTGGAAGTGGTGTGAGCTCGACGCCCACCCCAGGGACAGGTAAGGAAAGCGAAGGTCAGAGTGGGAGGGGGAGAGGGAGAGTATAAGTGGTGTGTCAGAATAGGTGGCGGTAGCTCTGTGTGATCACCTGTCTTACTAGGTGGTAAGGGGAGATATAAGGGAGTATAAGTGTCAGGGTAGGTGGTGGTAGCTCTCTGTGATCACCTGTCTTACTAGGTGGTAAGGGGAGAGAGAGGGTATAAGTGTCAGGATAGGTGGTGGTCGCTCTGTGATCACCCGTCTTACTAGGTTTTCGGTTCATGGGGGCACTTGGGGGTACTGGATGAGGATTATTGATGCCTAGTGGGTACAGAGGGTTATGTTATGATAGGACAAATGTAACGTAGAGAAGACCCCTTGATTATTATCCTGTTTTACGCTTATATCAGTGGAAATAACATAGGGTTTAGAGGCGTCGCCATTGCTCAGGTATCCATGCTTACTTCCTGGACCCCAGTTGATGTCAGGAAGGTCTTTAGAACCTAAGTGCCCGTTGAAGTGCCCTTAGAACCATAAACTAAAGTGCCCTTAAAATCATAAACCTAATTGCCCCTTTAAATGCCATTAGAACCATAAACCCAAGTCCCCCTTAAAGTGCCCTTAGAACCACAAACCAAAGTCCCCCTTCAAGTGCCCTTAGAACCATAAACCTAAATGCCTCAAAGTGCCTTAAGAACCATAAACCTAAATGCCTCTAAGTACCTTAAGAACCATGAACCCAAGTCCCCCTTCAAGTGCCCTTAGAACCATAAACCAAAGTGTCCCTTTAAGTGCCCTTAGAACCATAAACCTAAGAGCCCTTTCTAAGTGCCCTTAGACCCACGAGCATAAACTAACGCAGGCCGCCCTCGCTTCCTCCCCCAAGGGCCGTGTCTCGCCATGAGCTGTTCCCCATCCGCGCTCCCCTCGTCGCCCTCGAGCACTGCATCGGGACGTTCCTCGACTCCTGCGATCCCGACGACGACCACTACATCACCCTCAAGGAATGGGCCAAGTGCACGCATCTGACTGAGGTAAGGGACGCGTTTTTCTTTCCCCTTTTCAGGGTCGTTGCCAAGATTTGTGTTTCGTGTCGTGTCGTATCTATCCTATGATTATATTTTTGTATGTAAAATATATATATATATATATATATATATATATATATATATATATATATATATATATATATACGGGGAGAATAGGGTAAGGTTGATTAATATCGAATCTCTAAAAATATATATATTCTATTAGACAACAAAGCTTTCTGAACTTCCTAAACGAGAATAGGTATATTATTAAAATAATTGTGAAAACCTTAATAAAAAAGAGAAAAATAACATATAGCCTTAAATAATATATAGCTTATGTTTTTCTTCATGTTTGTTATTTTTCAGGAACATCTCAATGAGCTGGAGGATATGTGCGAGGAAATCCGCGAGCAGTAAAAGGCAACACTGAAACAAGTGAACATCGTCGAACCTCTTGTTGCCACAAATCATCACCCACTATAAAGGTTCCACGACCTTATATAGATACTTTAAACCTTTGATGGTGTTTGAATCTATTGAATTAGACATGTCCATTGTTTAATCTCTCATCTGCTATTGGAAAATGCAGTGATGCCATACTTATGTCCCAATTTTAGCTTTACGAATCTAAAATGCTGGTCAGTATGATACTTAAGGTTAACTATAAACCGCATAAGGAGGCTGCAAAAATGTTCTATCTCCTTTCTAGTAATAAAATATCCTGTTAAGAATGTTCCACTCTTGTTTGTTATATTTTAACTTTACACTAAGAACTAGGATAAATTCCATACATAATCCAACAGCAGATATGACGTAAGGAAAGTATAAGGAACGTAACTGATTTTACTGAATTTATGAATGTAAAACTTTTGAACCACACTGCCAATTTGCTTTATGTTTTATTTTTCATTTCATAGTTATGTAATTATTAAGTCATTATGGTGCTTTAAGTAATTAGGTGCTATTCCCAATTAGTGTACATTTTTCGGCATTATTCGTTAGTGATAGTACGAATTGTTGATTGTAATAAATTGTGTATGAAAGCAAAATTAATAAACAAGCATTTTTTTTCTAAGAAATACCTTTTTTCATCCTCTTTTAATTCATGTCTGAATATGAATAAATTACACGTCATTCCAGGGGGTATTACGCGAATTTTCAACAAATTACCCAGAAGATATATGTCATTCTTGAAGTAAATTCCTGCATAATGCCATTTAATTATGGAGAGATTTGGGAAAGATGGAATTCCAGAGATCATAACTCATGCTCCATTTTTAAACTTATACCTTAGTTAAACTTTTACCTCAGCTCTCATGATTTCTGCAGCATTATTTCCCAAAGTACGTGAATTGCTAGAATAAAATGAACAATATCAAATGAACGAAGGAGATGAAGAAAGAAAAACGAAACAGTTTCAGTTCGAATGGAATGATTTGAACAATGAGCTAAAGACGTTCTGGAATATCGTTAGGCTATCACAATAAATTAATAAATAAATGAATAAATAAAAGAAGAAAAAGCAAACAAACTGGGCAGTGATAGGCATGGTTTGGCGAACACAACTATGTCTTTTTTTCTATTTACAAGATTCTTCCATATTAGACTCAACTGAACCGTATTCATGTTAACATATATACAAAAAAGTATGAATGAGAATAGATCTCTTCACAATACAATGTATATGATGTATATGACCGGTTTCGATGATATATACATGTATTTCTGACGAAGATATGTGTCATTTTTGAAGTAAATTCCTGCATAATGCTATTTAATCATGGAGAGATTAGGGAAAGATGGAATTCCACTGCTCAAACATGCTCCATTTTAAAACTTATACCTTAGCTCTCATGATTTCTACAAGCAGGAGAAGGAGATTTATTCTGACAAATACATCTCTTGTATTGGGAAGATATTCATTATCTTTCATACCTTTTTTACATTCAACTTTCACCCAACTTCCTGAAAACGTCCCTCACATATAGCTTTATGGAAACCGCCGTGAGCTTATAGACATTAATTATTTTAGTAAGAACAAATAAACATACCTTCTGACATGGTAAATTGAGAAAAGAAAAAAAAAAACGGGGACACACCATTAAACATATTATAAGTAAGATGTAAGATAGATTCCTATTATCCAATAATCAAAACGATTTTTTTTTTCAATTTTCTCTTTTACGAAGAAATAGGTGGTTATACAGTACAAAAGGACAACTTTACAAGATAAAATCTTAAATCTTGAAAGGACTATGTAATCTTAAGGAAATAGATAATCAGTGATATAAAATTCGGTTATCTGATTCACTTTTATTCTCCAGACTCCACAGAATATATTTTAACCATATGTGTTCAGTAACTCGCTTGTTTAAAACTTGTCCGCATGATAATTCCCAACTACTGAAATGTTAAAAAAAATATATATAAAATCTATTTAATGATTTTGACCCCATTACTCGTTGTTCTTACATGCGGTATATCATATAGTTATAAATACGTCGCCAAAAAGGTGTCTCATAAATCTGTAGCAAAGATTATATACTACGATAGATAGGAAATATAGGTGATCGCAACGCCTCTATCGGGAAAGTTTGTAATTCGCGCTAACGTGACCCTATAATTCAATACATCAAGGTTGTGTAGTAGATCTTTCTTCTCTCTCTTTATACACACAATATATATATGTATGTATGTATATGTATATGTATATGTATATGTATATGTATATATATATATATATATATATATATATATATATATATATTATATTCCATATGCATATAATGTACATAAGGTTTGCAATTAAAGAAAGTTATTTTCTATTTACAGCGCAACCTTATTTATATTCATAAATATATACGATGCCGAATACTATTAATTAAGATGTCTCCATAATATGAACTAATTTTCCCGAATTCGTAATCCATCTGACAGAGTAAAATGGTTAAAAAAACAATATATTTAACAATAATTTCTTTATTTCATAGTCAAATGCTATTGTGCATAGCAATGTGATATACAAAATACAAATACAAAAACAATTGAAAAGTATAAACAGAATAAAACATTACACAAACAGAGGACAAATACATCTCTACCAAAATATATAAACAAAACATGCATTTAATGGTAGGCCTATGTATGATAATTTCATATATTCAGCACAGAGTGTTTATGAATATGACAAAGTATGAGGTTAAGATAGTCATCATGCACAGCTGATGTTAAAAGCAGCTATAGGAACAGTCATGCAAAAGCCATGCATTAAAAAAAAAAAAAAAAAAAAAAGCCAACATGCAATTGTAACAAAACTTTTGCAACTGATATTTAAAGCAGAGAGACGGAGAAATAACTGTTACAACACCCCATGAACTAAAGTACATCAATGGTGCACTGATACAAACAAATAAAAAAAATGCAGAAAAAATATAAACATAATTACTAGAGAGCTCAACAAAAATCATATATGTTGAAATAAAGCAAAAACATGGATCATACACAATCAAGCAATGTACTGTAAGAGTATACATACCAAAGCGGCCACTTGCAAATTGAACTGAAAAAAGTTATAAATGGCATGTTTTAGCTAATTTCCTATTTTTCCTCAATGCTCCTTGCAAATATACACCATTTCTCTTTTTACCTCTTAAATCTTTAATGATAAATTTTAAACTACAATTTCATTTTGTTGTAAATATCTCTAATATCTTTTTGTACTTCCTTACACAAAACTATACTGAGGACTCTCACGTCTGACAGACCATTTCTAAATGACTGCAAAACATTACTCTAGTATATGTTTGGTTTAATATTGTCATTGAAAAAAATTCATATTCCTGTATCTGTTAAATAAAGACTTAGTGTTGTTCATAAGAGTACCGCCTTGCTTCATCTGTAATGTGTGAATATTGTAATTGTGCTTTGAAAAAACTAAGCATAGTTGTTCAAGTACTTTGATGCCATATCGATAATCTCTGATGGTAAAACATTGTTTTTTGTTGAAAAGTGCACCTTGCTTTAACACATCTACTTTCCTGAGAAGTCTTTTCACTCTTGTTCTATACCCGTGAAGAAATTTTGATGAAGTTTTACCTTTCCTCTTTCTCGAATTTGTTTGGAGGTCAGGATTTCCATCAGGGTCTGAATTCTGAATACAGTAACAGAATGGAAAATGGTCTCTATTAATCAAAGGCTATATAACCATCAGGAATGGCTAAAAATACATGAAAAGAATAAGTCAATGACTAGTAAATATATTATATATAAATATAAATATATATAAATATAAATATATATATATATATATATATATATATATATATATATATATATATATATATATATATATATATATATATATATATATATATATATATATATATATATATATATATATATATATATATATATATATATATATATATATATATATATATATATATATATATATATATATATATATATATATATATATATATATATATATATATATATATATATATATATATATATATATATATATATATATATATCTTTTTTTAAGCTTACAGGACAATTTTCCTTATCTGTCTTTTTGTGCATGAAAAGATTAAGGGGAAAAAGGTAAAGAAAAGTATGAACTGAGACAATTTTAAAGCTATATATAGGAAAGGGAATAATATTTGCCATGTCTTCCTTACACCCATTGGAGAAAATAGCCTTACATATAAAGATCAATCAAATCATCAAAAATAATAGTAATAGTAAATAATATTCGCTATGCAATAAATTTCATTTTTTTATCCATGTAATAACATGTACATTCACAAATAACTGATTTTATAAATAACAGAAAAGTATCAATATAATCAATAATATTTTTATGAATCATAGTTCTATAACTTTGTGTCAAAATATATTTGCAGCACATTTGTTCAGTCATGATAGTATATTCTCTTACCTGGACAAGGAGGTATAGATGTTGAACCTTTTCATAATTGTTTGATGTTACACTTATTTCCTCTTCTGATGAGTGGCCTGGTAAGTCTGATGGTATTCCTGCAATATGGTAATTATGATACCTGTTGCTTTTATTAATCATTTAAGATTTTCAATAAATCAATTTGCTATTTCATATATAGGCATTTAAAGATAAGATTGTGCTTTCATCAAAAGTTACTGACTGGGGTTGTGGTGGTTTGGCTGTAAATTGCAATTTTGTATATCAATTTCATCTATATATTATGTTTTTGAATATGCTAATATTGATACAATATACTGGTTAAAAATAATTTGTTTAGGTATGATATTATATATATAATGCATGACAAAAAGTACACAGACACTGAAGAAAAAAAGTTAAATACTGAAGAAACAAATACCAAAGTAAAATGTGTTCCATGAGCTGTTGCCATCACTCCCAGAATCATTTCCCATTGTGCAGCTTCCTGATGCTTCTTCTGTTAAATATGTCTCTATCAATATGCATAAATTTTGTCTTATATATTGGCATACACAGTAATTTTCAAAATACTCTTTAGAATGGTAATTTTTATTGTGTGCAAGGCTAGCTGTTCACATATGTGTACAAAGATATTTCAAGAAAATAGCCTACTTTAAAAATGTCACTTTATTACAGCTTAAAAGCACCAGAAATCTAACCTGCATTACTCTAAAAATACAAATTATCCAAATTGTTAAAGTAATTTTATAACGAGCTTAGATGATTATGTTTAAGTAGCCATGTTAATGTTAGCAAACTGATACATTACACTGCATGATGCTAAAATGGTAATAGTATATAACATTACTGCATACTTATTATTTAAGAAATGCATATAGATGGGAAGAGCAATTCTTGTAGAACTATAAACAATTGAAAAAAAGAGTGGCCACAAAAAATGATTGTCCTGGGGCTTTAGATTCTGCTTCTGTAGCTCATGATAAAAGTCCTACCATGTGGTTAGGTTGATGTCTCAAACTTTACATATTCCTAGACATACATCTTACCACCAGAACATAACTGCTAAGAAAATATGGTAATCTTAAAAACCCTTACATGGTCATATATCATTTCTCCTCATTTCTGATTTTTTCTTTAATGAATGATATTCTAGACTTTGCTTGTCCCATCTAGATGCTTTTATTTGATATTTAGAAATATGGTCGTATTCTCAAGTTTTAGGATTAATATTACTCACCACACATATTTTGATCTGGGATGGCAACCTTTAATAGTTTATTTCCTTGGTAGTTTTTCAAAGAAAAATGAGAGCTGCAGATCCTGTAGGTTTTATTCAATTGTGGTGGACTTATATTCTTCAAATATTTGCCATCTGGATGATCTTGAAGACTGCTAATCCATTTGTAACACCTGTAAACACTGGTAATATCAGCCATAAAGCTACTTTATATAGCCTACGATTTCTCGAACAGCCTGTTTCACTAATATGTTGTTTTTTTCACTTGCAATGCTGGACTATTTATGCTCTCACCAGACTATTTATGCTCTCACCAGATTATTTATACTCTTACCTATCTTCATCTTTGGGGAAGCGATGAAAAATGATTGCGGGATTTCTTCGTTTCTTCCTATTGCAAAAGAAGCAAGGTTGCAATTAACTCATGTTTTCTTCCTATTGCAAAGAAAGCAAGGGTGCGATTCACTCATGTTTTCTTCCCATTGCAAAGAAAGCAATGTTGTCCATCTGGTCAAATCTTGCGCCGCCGCTGGTGATGTAAACAAGCAGACGACACGGGAATCGCGTACAGGTGGCGCCATCTATTGAGCCGATCTCTGGGATGGACATCAAACCTCAACACGAAATTCATCAACCCACCTAAATTCATCAACCTCACACGAAATTCATCAACCTCCAACGAAATTCATCAAACCTCACACGAAATTCATCAAACCTCACACGAAATTCATCACCTCACACGAAAATTCATCAATTTCATCACCTCACAGAAAATTCATCGAAATTCATCAACCTCACACGAAATTCATCAACCTCACACGAAATTCATCAACCTCAACAGCGAAATTCATCAACCTCACACGAAATTACATCAACCTCAACACTTCATCCTCACACGAAATTCCATCCTTGCACACGAAATTCATCCTCACACGAAAATTCATCAACCTCACACGAATTTCATCAACCTCACACGAAATTCATCCTCAACACGAAATTCATCAACCTCACACGAAATTCATCAACCTCACACGAAAATTCATCAACTCACACGAAATTCATCAACCTCACACGAAATTCATCAACCTCACACGAAATTCATCAACCTCACACGAAATTCATCACTCACACGAAATTCATCCTCACACGAAATTCAATCCTCACACCGAAATTCATCCTCACACGGAAATTCATCAACCTCACACGAAATTCATCAAACCTCACACGAAATTCATCAACCTCACACGAAAATTCATCAAACCTCACACGAAATTTCATCAACCTCACACGAAAATTCATCAACCTCACACGAAATTCATACAACCTCAACACGAAAATTCATCCCTCACACGAAATTCATCACCTCACACGAAATCATCAACCTCACACCGAAATTCATCAACCTCACACGAAATCAATCAACCTCACACGAAATTCATCAAAACCTCACACACGAAAATTCATCAACCTCACAACGAAATTCATCAACCTCACACGAAAATTCATCAACACGAAATTCATCAACCTCACACGAAATTCATCAACCTCACACGAAATTCATCAAAACCTCACACGAAAATTCATCAACCCTCACACGAAAATTCATCAACCTCACACGAAATTCATCAAACCTCACACGAAATTCATCAAACCTCACACGAAATTCATCCCTCACACGAAATTCATTCAACCTCACACGAAATTCATCTAACCTCATACACAAATTCATCAACCTCACACGAAATTCATCAACCTCACACGAAATTCATCAACCTCACCACGAAATTCATCAACCTCACACGAAATTCATCAACCTCACTACGAAATTCATCTCACACGAAATTCATCAACCTCACACGAAATTCATCAACCTCACACGAAATTCCATCACTCACCTTCATCCAACGCTCACACGAATTCATCAACCTCAACAGCGAAATTCATCTCTCACACGAAAAATTCATAACCTCACACGAAATTCATCAACACGAAATTCATCAACCTCACACGAAAAATTCATCCTCACACGAAATTCATCAACCTCACACGAAAATTCAATCCTCACACCATCACACGAAATTCATCAACCTCACACGAAATTCATCACACGAAAAAATTCATCCTCAAACACGAAATTCATTCAACCTCAACACGAAATTCATCACGCTCAAAAACGAAATTCATCAACTCTCACACGAAAACCTCACACGAAATTTCATCACCTCACACGAAATTCATCCTCACACGAAAATTCCATCCTCACACGTACGAAATTCATCAACCTCACACGAAATTCATCCACCTCACACGAAATTCATCAAACTCACCACAAAATTCATCCTCACACGAAAATTCATCAACCTCACACGAAATTCATCTCACACGAAATTCATCAACCTCACACGAAATTCATCCTCACACGAAAATTCATACTCACACGAAATTCATCAAACCTCAAACACGAAAATTCATCCTCACACGAAATTCATCAACCTCACACGAAAATTCATCAAACCTCACACGAATTCATCATCACACGAAAATTCATCCTCACACGAAATTCATCAAACCTCACACGAAATTCATCAAACCCACACGAAATTCATCAACCTCACACGAATTCATCAACCTCAACATCGAAAATTTCATCCTCACACGAAAATTCATCAACTCTCACAACGAAATTCATCCTCACACGAAATTCATCAAAACCTCACACGAAATTCATCCTCACACGAAATTCATCCTACACGAAATTCATCAACCTCACACGAATTCATCCTCACACGAAAATTTCATCAACCTCACACGAAAATTCATCAACCTCACAACGAAATCATCAACCTCAACCGAAAATTCCATGCGCTCACACGAAAAATTCATCCTCAACACGAAATTCATCAACCTCACACGAAATTCCATCAACCCTCACACGAAATTCATCAACCTCACACGAAATTCATCAACCTCACACGAAATTTCATCAACCTCACACGAAATTCATCAACCTCACACGAAAAATTCACAACCTCACACGAAATTCATCCTCACACGAATTCATCCTCAACACGAAATTCATCAACCTCACACGAAATTCATCAACCCTCACACGAAATTCATCAACCTCACACGAAATTCATCAACCCTCACACGAAAATTCATCAACCCTCACACGAAATTCATCAACGCTCACACGAAATTCATTCAACCTCACAGCGAAAATTCATGCGAAGACCGTCACAGCGAAATTCATCAAAACCTCACCACGAAATTCATCAACCTCACACGAAATTCTCAACCTCAGACACGAAATTCATCAACCCTCACACGAAAATTCATCCTCACAACCGAAATTCATACAACCTCACACGAAATTCATCAACCTCACAGCGAAATTTCATCAAACCTCACACGAAATTCCATCAACCTCACACGAAAAATTCATCAACCTCACACGAAATTCAATCAACCTCACAACGAAATTCATCAACCTTCACACGAAATTCATCAACACTCACACGAAATTCATCAAACGCTCAAACACGAAATTCCCATCAAACCTCAAACACGAAATTCAATCAACCTCCACAACGAAATTCAATCAACCTCAACACGAAATTCAACCTCACAGACCGAAATTAATCAACCTCACACGAAATTCATCAATAACCTCACAAACGAAGAAATTCATACAACCTCAGACACGAAATTCAAATCAACCTCAAACACGAAATTCATCAACCTCAAGACACGAAATTCATCAAACCTCACACGAAATTCATCCTCACACACCAGCTTGACGTAAAATTCATCCTCACACGAAATTCATCCTCACACGAAATTCATCCTCACACGAAATTCAATCCTGCACACGAAATTCTATTCAACCTCACACGAAATTCATCAACCTCATACGAAATTCATCACTCTCACACGAAATTCATTCAACCTCACACGAAAAATTCATCAACCTCAACACGAAATTCATCCTCACACGAAATTCATCCTCACTACGAAAAATCATCCATCACACGAAATTCATCAACCTCAACACGAAATTCATCAACCTCACACGAATTCCATCAACCTCACACGAAATTCATCAACGCTCAACGAAATTCATCAACCTCACACGATTCATCAAACCTCACACGAATTCATCAACCTCACAACGAAAATTCCATCAACCTCACACGAAATTCATCCCTCACACGAAATTTCATCCACTCACATCGAAATTCATCAACCTCACACGAAATTCATAACCTCATACGAAAATTCATCAACTCATAACGAAATTCATCAACCTCAACACACGAAATTCATCAAACCTCACACGAAAATTCATCAACCTCACACGAAATTCCATCCTCACAATTCATCCTCACACGAAATTCATCCTCACAGAATACGAAAAATTCATCAACCTCACACGAAATTTCATCAAAACCTCACACGAAATTCATCACCTCACACGAAATTCATCAACCCTCACACGAAATTCATCAACCTCACACGAATTCATCAACCTCACACGAAATTCATCAACCTCACACGAAATTTCATGTTCAACCTCACACGAAAAATTCATCAACCTCACAACGAAATTCAATCAACCTCAAACGAAATTCATCAACCTCACACGAAATTCATCAAACCTCACAACGAAATTCATCAACCTCACACGAAAATTCATCAACCTCAAACACGAAATTTCATCAACCTCACACGAAATTTCATCAACCTCACACGAAATTCATCAAAAACCTCACACGAAATTCATCAACCTCCACACGAATTCATCTCCTCACACGAAATTCATCAACCTCCACGAAATTCATCAACACTCAACACGAAATTCATACAACTCACACGAAATTCATCAACCTCACACGAATTCATCAACCTCACACGAAATTCATCAACCTCACAACGAAATTCATCAACCTCAACACGAAATTCATCAACCTCACACGAAATTCATCAAACCTCACACGAAATTCATACCTCAACACGAAATTCAATCAAACCTCACACGAAATTCATCAACCTCCACGAAATTCATTCAAACCTCATACGAATTCATCAAAACCTCACACGAAATTCATCAACCTCACACGAAAATTCATGCACCATCACACGAAATTCATCAACACCTCACACGAAATTCATCAACCTCACACGAAATTCATCAAACCT